ACTGCTAGAAAACACTGTGGCATGGCAGAATTATTTAGCAGACAAGCAACTTCAAGAACTACCAGTTTTACCAAGGAGAGAAAACAAATTTAAACTCCTAACTAACAAGGTAAAAAACAAAGTTAGTCAAGTAAAAGAAATAACCAAAAAAAAATTCAATGCCTATATTTTACAAAAGAATAAATAGTATGAAATTATGAAATTAGAAGGGGAAATAAATGGCATTGTAATTTCTGCCCTTTTGAAAAAGAAAGTTTAACTGCTACTTACAAAATAATGTCTTACAATACAAATGTAATGATTACAATGACATTGCTTATATCTGTCAAGTGTAAAAAAGCTCTTGATGATGATACTTTACCACACTGTAATGATTGTGGTTGAATTATGAGAAACAGAATAGACTGCTTCTGTGATTTAAGGAAAGATGAACCAGTTAAAACTCCAACAATAACAGAAATAATGGCACAGAGTTGTGTTGGCAGATTGTAACAGCAGAATAAAGACTTAAAACAGCAACTATCCAGTGCTAAGGGAGAAATCAGTTCTCATTTGGAAGCCTTAGAAGTTTCAAAGGATTGGCATAATAAGCAAAAGCAGGAATTATTAGATAAAATTCAAAGACTTGAAAGTGAAGTTGAACAGTTAAAGAGACAGCAGACCCAACAAACTGCTCAAATTGAAGTCAAAAAATGACCTTGATTGAAAATAAGAAAGTAATTTAAAGAGGATTGAGGAAGTATTTTCCTCTAATATAAATGAAATTCATTCCAACTATCAAAAAAAACAAGTTATTTTCCTTTTAAGGATTTTGGCTTTTTGTTAGGTAATAATACACTTTCATCCTGCTTTCTTTTTCCAACATTTATTATTTTTCTTTCTTCTTGGTAAATTTCATAGGTAATCCTTTCTTTTTTTAGATAAGTTTCCAGTGTCTGAGTATCATTTATTTTGAAAATGTAAGGTGCGATTTTTTCACCTTGTTCCTTTTTCAAAATACTTCTAATGGTGCTGTAATTCTTTGGTTCCATGGTAGACCTAATGTAAATTAGCTTCATATTGTTATTTTTATATACGGGCAATTCTATATATCACTTAACAAATGACTAAATTTTGATCCCTGAAATTCTTGGTAATACCAATGTTCACTTTGTCTGGTTTTGTTGCAGTCTGCCCCAAATAATATTAAAATATCACTTCTTGTAGTCTTGCATATACCAATCAATATTAATGTGATTTAATTTAATTTTAACCAGATTTGGTTAGAATAATCTAACCTTAAATAATAAATTACAAATCAGGTATTATTTTAATGCTAACCAATTTCTATTAAAATATCCTTTTTTTGTAAATACAAACAAAATGACAATTAATGCAAAAATTAATGATTTAGAAGATTTAGACTTTTTAGATTTTCTTTCATTTATTTTTCTTAATGCTTCAGGTGCACCTTCCCAAGATTGTCTGCCAATTAATCGATACTAATTATTTACAAATACATTATCATTATCATCATTATTAAATACGGATGAATATATATTGATCACAAAAAAAAAAGTATCTTTTACCTGAATAGGACTTGGTAAACCAAACCAAACATTAAATAGAGTTCCCAGTCCATATTTCTTTAATATCTAAGTATTGAAAACCTTTTCCACTTTCATAACATTGAGCTTTATTCAATCCTGCTGGACTGGACATTTTCACTACATCAACCACATGACCCACACAATCTACTCTTGTTCTTCTGTAGAGTTTTTTAATCAGTCCAAAACTACCATCACATTTAAATTTAGTATGTCCAGGAACCATAAAGTTCAATTCAACACTTTCATAATAACCACAAATTACCAAATATAAATAAAACCAAATTGTTACATTATTTTTGTTTTGTCCCCCAGCATTATCACAAGTAATATTTAAATGTTTTTCACCTTTATTCAATTTCTTAATTCCATCAAAGATCAAACTAAGAGTTCCATTAGGTCCTTTTCCTATAGTTTCATTTTCATTAAGAACATAATTAATTTGTTCCCTTACT